CGAAGGACGGAACCTGTTTACAGTACAGTGTCCCTGTCACTATACTGGGGCATTAGGACCCACATGAGCCACAGGGTGAGCGCCCCCTGTTGGCTCCACTAACACCTCTTCCAACAGCAAACTTAGTTTTTCCCAGGAGGTCTCCCATGCAGGAACTGACCAGGCTCACACCTGCTTCGCTTCAGTGGGTTGCCAGTTGTGAGTTGCACCGTGATATATACCAAGCACTTTTGTAGTTCTTTGACATTTGGAGGTTTTATTTATTTATTTTGATTATTGTTTATCCTCCTCTGTTTTCTATTTTCTGAATCACCAATTTGTTACAAAATGATTTATACAATATTTTTTCTGATCCAAGCATACCTGTTCTTTCCTCTGGTTGTAAAAATCTTCTTGGCTCATTAAAGCCTACCATGGATCACTTTTTCAAAAATAATTATAAATATGCTTCAAGCCTGCTCAGTTTAGATCTAGAGCCTCAGTATCTGAAACTTTCCTGTTTTCTCAGTCCCAATCCATTGTTCTCTAAAGCAGTCATATTTCACTGGGCTGCAGCTGGGATGGCCGGGGATCTGCAGACAGGAGCCCAGTGTGAGCTCTCAGTCCAGGGGAGCAGGCTGGAGCAGAAGGGGCAGAAGATCCAGGAGAGGGGCCAGTGGGCAAACAAGAGGGAGTTCATCTTGGCTGTTGCTGGAAATATTGTTGGTTTGGGCAACGTGTGGAGGTTCCCCTACCTGTGCTACAAAAACGGGGGAGGTGAGTGAGGGCAGTAATCATAAATCACTAAGCATTTAGACCTATCTAGCTCCACTACCTTTTTACATGGAGACATGGGACTAAAAAAGAGGTTCACTGTGGAAAAAGTAAATACAGTCTGGGATGATATCTTTTGTGATATTTAACCTCTCTTTTTTAAAAGGTGCCTTCCTCATCCCCTATGTCCTGTTCCTGTTTACCTGTGGAATCCCCGTGTTCCTGCTGGAGACGGCTCTGGGGCAGTACACCAGCCAGGGGAGCATCACCTGCTGGAAGAAGATCTGCCCCCTGTTTGAAGGTGAGCTTCTAGTTTTCATTCATTTTTATGGCTTCTCTGCATTACACTATCCTGCACAATTTTTATTAAAATTCATCACAACAGAATTGTGAAAAACATACACAACTATAGTTTAAGACAGTGAAAGGAATTACTTACAAATGCAACTCAGAACATAAGTATATTTTAAAACAACAGGAGGCCATCTGACTGCTAGAAGCTGACAGATCAGACAGTCATGTCAAGCCATTTCTTAAAGGATTCCTGGGAAATCTGTTTCAACATCATATCTAGTTCAGATACAATAACAGTGCATTTTTATGTTTAGACTACAAATGTTTATACAAACTATATTCGAAAGTTATAATTACAAACAACATTTTTTCAAATGCAAAAATGAAGTGTGGAAAGAGATATTTTAATACCATACTCAAATGGTGGAGCGGTGGCTCTGTGGCTAAGGATCTGTGCCTGTGCCTGGAAAGTTGCTGGTTCAAATCCCGTGGCTGGCAGAGGAATCCTACTCTGTTGGGCCCCTGAGCAAGGCCCTTAACCCTAACTGCTCCAGGGGTGCTGTAGAATGGCAGACCCTGTGCTCTGACCCCAAGCTTCTCTTCCTGTCTGTGTGTCTGTGTCTCCATGGAGAAAAGCTTGGGTATGTGTAAACATGAACTCCTAATGCAAGAAATTGTACTGGGCTAATAAAGAAACATTAATTAAATACCATATCATTCACACATTGCCAAAAGTAATGTTCTTCAATATGTGAATTTATTACAATAGATATGAGATAATAACAAGCATTTTATAAATTGCCCACCAATGTGTTAAGCTGATAATGGTATCAGCTATCAGGAGACAGGAATAACTATAGAAATTCAGTGCTGAGTTGAGAACTTTTAATTGTATGTCTAATCCTGATTCGGTCTCTACAGGCATTGGCTGTTGTACTGTGGTGATCATGATCTACACCAGCACTGTTTACATCATCATCCAGGCTTGGGCCTTATTCTACCTGTTCTCCTCCTTCAGTTCTGAGCTGCCCTGGGACAGCTGCAGAAACACCTGGAACACAGGTACTGAGAATAAGTGTTCACTAGCAGCCCATTCAAATCTCAGAGCATTGAAAATGAAGGCTTCAAAGATGCTCTTTTTCCTTGGGTGAGTGCACTGGAGTTAGTGAAGCTGGCATCCAGTAATGGAGTCGAAAGTTCAGATGTTTGTGCATTAGCAGAGTTATGATCCTGATCTCTATGCACTCTCACAATTACTTGCTGTCTTCCACACAAGGTCACACAGTTCTCCCATTCTGTTGGTCTTCTGACAGATGCATGTGTGGAGTTTGACAAGCAGAATCTCACTTCCAACGGGACAGAGGCAGAAAGGGCCACCTCTGCTGTAATGGAGTTCTGGAAGTACGTTAGGCAAACCCATCACTAACGTTATATTACAAGCACTTGCAAGTTTTGTTTACAATAATATTGAATGTGCACTGTCATCTCTGCAGCAGGAGGGTGCTGGGTATCTCTGGTGGGATCGATGAGTTGGGCAGTCTGAGATGGGAACTGGCCCTGTGTCTCCTGCTGGCCTGGATCATCTGTTACTTTTCTGTCTGGAAGGGAGTGAGGTCCTCAGGGAAGGTGAGTGTTGCGTATTTGAGCTGCATGACTTCTTAGTTTTGTAAGATACTTTCTCAAGATTGCAATTTGAAGTATAAAAACAGGGTTAACTTCCTAATATGGTATTTAAATGAATTAGATGTAGATCTGAAATTAACCGTCCATATATCAATGGTTTCCCTGCCCCCTCAGGTGGTGTACTTCACAGCCACTTTCCCCTATGTGATGCTGGCGGTGCTGCTGGTCCGAGGACTCACCCTGCCTGGAGCTGTTGATGGACTGGTCTTCTACCTCTACCCTGATGTAACACGGCTCACTGACCCACAGGTGGTCCTTCGACGTGTAATGCATATCTCTAGCATGAGAAACATGTGTAACAAAACTGCAAAATCTATTCTCTAAGCATGTGAAAATGTATTGTTTTTCATTTAAAAAACATCTACATTAAACTAAGACTGTGATATGTTTGGTTCTCTGCCTCTGACAGTACATTTCCAGAGGCTACAGCAGAGCCTTATACTATTAGTCTGCATAGTCTATAGTTGAATGCCAAGTAGGAACCATGATTATGTCAATAACATCATTATCTCAAAGACTGACAGTATATTCATCTCTATGACAGTTCCCCCAGTCCTACTGCTGTGGTCCGGAGGATTTATACACAAATCCACAAAATAACTGCAAGGATGTATAGAATTGGGATGAGACCAGATAAAATCCCAGGTTCTCAGACTTTCCAGTCTTCACATGGTGTGTAACCATGTTCCCAAGAAGATCTAACCAACTGATCCAGTTTGGTCAGATTCTCAACATTTGATACCAGTGCCTAACACACAGCAGTAGTTAGTCTATTGCACTAACCTTTTAACCTGTCCAGTGGTTGCCAGACAGTTTTGTAAACCTGTGCTCCTGTCTATCCTAGGTATGGATGGATGCAGGGACACAGATTTTTTTCTCTTATAGTGTTTGCTTAGGACTGCTAATAGCACTCAGCAGTTACAACAAATACAACAATAACTGCTACAGGTAAGAGGAAAGGTATCTCTGGAAAATGATATCAAAGTGAAATTCCTGTAGACAGCAAAGTATCATGAACTGACATTTTTCATTGTTTAAGCACTCCTTTCCTTAGTAATTTATCATTTTCTATGGGAGTTGAGTTAATTCTTCCATTAATAAAGCATTCCATACTGACAAATTCTGTAGGTGCTGCCAACATTTTACTGCAGTACTGTTAACACTTCATGGGATTTTTGTGTTGAACCTATTATCCTATGAGTATAAACTGTGATCAGTACATGCAGTACAGCCTAGACCAATAGGTCCTGCTCTTAGCAAGTATCTCTCAGGCTCCACACTAGACTGGGTGATGGTTGGAATGAAATGATTGTAACCACGGTCTCTCTTCATGCAGGGACACCTTGTACCTGTGCCTCCTGAACAGCGCTACCAGCTTTGTGGCAGGATTTGCCGTCTTCTCCGTGCTGGGCTTCATGGCGTACGAGCAAGGAGTGGACATCTCGCTGGTGGCCGAGTCTGGTGAGCCGCAGTCTGTCCACATCTTCTGTCTCATTGGTTCTCCTCTGACTGGAGTGTGCTTTGTTAATGTAAATCTTACAGAACTGTTCTGTGAAAACCTTTACTTTTACCCTTAGGAACAGTTGGTTTAACTATTCATATAGTTGCTCACTGACCAAGACTTAATTTTAATTGTACTCAACTGTGCCTTTTCAGATTTAGTATGTGATTTCTATAATTTAAATGATTTCACTCCCTGACTCCCCCATGTCTGGTTGTTCAGGTCCTGGGTTGGTGTTCATCTTGTACCCGAGGGCAGTGGCCATGATGCCTCTACCCCAGCTCTGGGCTGTCTGTTTCTTCATCATGGTTCTCCTGCTGGGAATAGACACAGAGGTGAGACCATCTTGTGAGTCGATACAGTACTTTATATCCAAAGGGGTAACCTGTGTTTGCATGCTCTGTGGACCGTGTGTTCTGGGAGTGAGTTGACTCAGTGATCCAGGTGTCTGTCCTCTCTGTTATCTTGCTCTCTGCAGTTTGTGGGCATTGAAACCGTGATGACAACCATCGTGGATTTGTTTCCTGCTGTGTTCCGGAGAGGATACCGGCGGGAGCTCCTTCTGCTCCTCTTCTGTGTGGTCTGCTTCCTGCTTGGTCTCCTCATGGTCACTGAGGTGAGGAATGGAGGGCTGAGGGGCCTGATAATCAATCAGCAAGACCTGCCATGGTCTGGTTTGAATTGAGGATCAGCAGATTCGCCTGAATAGCTCATGGGAATGAAGAAACTTAGAAACAAAATCTTCAGTAAGTGTTGGCACTGCACCATGCCAAGGAGCAGACATTCAGAGTTGTACCTGTGTACATAATGTAAAATCACAGTTGTCACCTCACATGTATTTAAATAACAACATTTTCTCTGTCTCTCCAGGGTGGAATATACATCTTCCAATTGGTTGAGTACTATGCTTGCAATGGGGCCTGCCTCTTGTTTGTTGCCATATTTCAGACTATTTGTATTGGATGGGTATATGGTAGGTGTTAATGTCTTTATTACTATTATTCTATTTATTCTTATTAATGGTGGGAGGTTTTCATTGGCCAATATCTGTGTTCTTCCAATTTTTGCCATAATTCTAACAGATTTTTATTTGAGTACTGCTTTTACAAGCATTCACTCCTATAGCTTAGTACAGATAAATTAAATGCTGATAAAATACACAAAACTCTCAATGTATTCAGACTGCACCACAAAATACATTTGCTCATCTGTAGTTGTGTCATTACTGTGCTGGTGATCTTCCCCTCTGGATTTCATACAGGAGCTGATCTCTTCTGTGCCAACATTGAAGACATGATTGGCTGTCGGCCTTTGGCTGTGTTTAGGTACTGTTGGCGCTACATCACTCCAGCTGTGTGCACTGTAAGAGCATGTCTTTAACTTCTTCTTGAACTTTTTACACAAACTGACCTTAAAGTAACTTTAAAATCAGTATTTTGATTAGTATTTTGGATAAATATGCCTCCCTTTAAATTTGCTCTGTTTCTTTCAAGAGCTTCTCTCCATTATGTAAACCTGAACTTCACAATTTGAAACTAACTCAATGGCACCTCCAGAACTTAAGCAAAAGCTCTGGCCTAGTATTTTGAAAATCAGGCTTACAATGAACACCTGCAAGTGTACAGAGCTGATCTAGTTTCCACCAGATCCTCCTAAATCTCGCATACATTAATTATTAAGAGCTACAAAAAAAAAACTGGTTGCCTGGATGCCATGCCTACTACTTCATTTCCATTGTTCATTTCCATGGGTGTGGTACCTACTGTCTTAAAGGTTGCTTCAATCTAAACTCCTATATTAAAAAATAACAGGCTTGTGCTCTCATAAAATGATGAACTATAGACCAATTTCTAATTCACCATACCTATTTCCTGATTTGTTTGAACCATTTCAGTCCAGTGTTTGCTTTAATCATAGCATTGAGACTGCTCTTGTCAGGGTTGTGAGTGATTTACTTACTGTTTCTGACTCAGACGACATAAGTATCCTTATGTTCCTTGATCTTAGTGCTGCTTTTAATACAGTAAATCATTCAGTGTTGCTCAAACACTTGTAAACATTCTGGTCTATCTTGGCTTTATATGGTTATGCTCTTATCTCACCGGCAAGACGCATTTTCTTTTCCTTGGTCCTCATGATTCCCCCATGGCTCCAGTCAATTATGATATACCACAGAATTCAGTCTTGGGCCCAGTTCTTTCTTATTTGTATCCTCTAGTGGACAAACGTGGTCTTCAGATTCACTGTTAGGCAGACAAATATTGACTATCTTCAAATCCCAGCTCAACATTCATGTCTGATTGCCCTACATTCTGCTTAAAACATGCTTAAATCTGTATGCTCTTGTTAATTTCTTTTACTTTTACTTCTACTATTGTATTTTTTTAATCTTCTTCTTAAACATCACCTGTATAAAGCAGTTTCTATTGTTATACTTATTTGCTGTTTCAGTGAAGCTGAGTCAGATGTCTGATCTCTCTACTTCAGGGCATCTTCATCTTCTCTCTGGTCAAGCACACCCCTCTGAAGTTCAACAACACCTATGTGTATCCAGACTGGGCGTATGTCCTGGGCTGGTTCTTTGCCCTCTCCTCTGTCACCTGTGTGCCTCTGGTCATGCTGTATAAACTCACCAGGACAGCAGGGACACTACGCCAGGTACTGTTCCAGTCTCTTTAGTGACTGGAGAGCTATATCCTGAACTATGTGAGTTTGTTTTTTCTCCTGAGCCGATGTCTGTAACAAACTTATCTGTTCTTGTTGTCTCTCCAGCGTCTGCAGCAGTTGTGTCGCCATGCCCAGGAGTTGCCTCTCAATCAGAAGCAGAAACAGAACTGTGATCCTCTGAACTCAGACTCCAAAGCTCTGTTGAGTTGTAGAGAGAGACAGCTAAAGAGTGAAGGAAGCCTTGAAGCTCCAATCCCAGCAGCAGTGTAGAAAGTGGTTCAATATGGGTGACTGTGGTGTTTGGGGTAGACATGCTCATTCATGGTAATAAAAGGTGAAATGTGAAGAAATAAATACAGTGTTTCAGTTTCTTGAACGAGTTAATCAAATAACTGAAGTAATATGATCTTGATCTGGTACTTGCTTTTTTCAGTTGAATAATTACATTTTTTATGTCATTATATCTTTAAAAAGCCACCTTTTGAGAAAGATATTTTCAAACTCAATCTCTAGATAGCTTTTGTATCACATGCAAGTCAATTTAATACGTTTTCATAATGTTCACCCATTTTCTCATAACACTGGACATTTCTATATTGCTTCTGTTGATCAATCCTTGTGGTGCTTCTCTTAAAGTGGTCTGGTTATATTTTGGGGGAGAGGGTAGTAATAAAATGTGTTTTTTTCACAAACTAAAATTAATAAGAAATGAATAAAGTTGATTGATAAAATCAGGAAATGACATATTAATGCTTTTCTTGTTCCTACGCTCAGGAGCACAGGGTGTATGGGGTGCAATGTGGGCTAAGAAGTACTTATTGCTGCAGGGTGAGGGGTATCACTGGCAGGGCTGCTTGACATCGATGTCCAGCAATCAGGTTTCAGACCCAGGTGTGATCCCCTACTCTTCTGCCTTCTGTGTCACGGATGTCGGAAAGGACGAACCGTAGAATGGCAGGAGAGCGAATAGACTCTATGCGTACCGGCGAGACGGGGGTTAGCCCGGGCTCAGCTGATCAGGGAATGCTGTATAGAAACCTATGCCGTCAGATAGCGGACATGGGGCGACCTGGTGCTAGGCGGGTCTCAGGACATCCGAACATCAATGCTGAGCACCGGCAGAATGAAAGACCCGGAAATATATAGCCCCAGAGAGAGAGAAACACCGGAAGGACAGCAAAGAACCGGAAATGAGAGACAGGACAGAGAAGGAGCGCCCTCTGGCTGTAGAGGGCGTGACATTCTGTCCCTGTGACAGTC